TTAGTGAAGAGTTCACGTGACATCGACAGTAGTTCATTGTTCTAAGTAAATATGTTTCATACAGCATTTTCCACTTATTTATTTACATAATGAATACTTTGACACTGTTTGACATTTTACTCCACCAGTAACATAACACAATGTTACAATGAAGATAAAGACACACGTTGTAGAACAAACGTTTGTGGCAACGATACACTCTGTAGAGCTTTATAATTAATGAAGCTCCACACGAATCCTATTCGGCAACTTGTGTTTTTGTCCGCATACGTGACAAAAGCCCCTTGTATCCATAATCGTTAGATCCCCCAACGTAACTTAGTACACGTCACTTGTAAAGGTGTTCAGATATTCCTTAAAATATGGGCAGGTGTTGTGCCTTCACTGGTCTTTGTTGGTAATATTGTTCTCCTTCCTCCCTCAACCTCGCTCTTCCACACTCGTCGGCCACCACGAAAATCCATCGCATAAACAGTGCAAAAATTGCAAGAGTACAAAAAACATTAAAATGAGAAGTGAACAGAAGTACTAAAACAGGAAGAGAACAGAAGTACTCAAACAGGAAGAGAACACAAGTATTAAAACATGAAGAGAACACAAGTATTAAAACATGAAGAGAACACACGTATTAAAACAGGAAGAGAACACAAGTATTAATACATGAAGAGAACACAAGTATTAAAATATGAAGAGAACACAAGTACTAAAACAGGAAGAGAATACAGGTACTAAAATAGGAAGAGAACACAAGTATTAAACATGAAGAGAACACGAGTACTAAAACAGGAAGGGAACACAAGTACCAAAACCATTAGAGTTCACACGTACTTTTCTCGCGTTATATTTTTTGTAACTCTAAACCCGTGTGGGTCATTCAACTCGAGGTGAATCGGAGTGTCTATCCTTAGTACAGTAATCGCGACCCGGTTTCTGTTCAATCAACTTCAGCATTCCAACTTTTTGTGCGTAGAGACGAAACTGAAGATGAAAAACATAGGCCAGACAGTAGTGACGCGACTTGAGAGATTAATGGCAGATGTCAGTAATATGGATGGACTGTCAACTGAAGACTTTAAACTCAAGCATAGTGATTAACGAGGATTCATGGGTGGAGCAATCCTTGAGATGAAGTGCGAGTATACATACATACATACATACATACATACACACACACACACACACACACACACACACACACACCACACACACACACACCTTGAAGATTACCTTTAGTCGATGTCGGGGGGTCATCGTCCCCGCGTACCAGTCCTGGACCAGACCACCTGGTTGATGACCTCGTCTACCATCTCGCCCGGATAGTTACCATTCAAGTGCTGCATGACCTGAAGAGCAGTGGCTCGGTTGGCAGCGCACTCAACCCCCATACTGACTGTCCGTGGTTCGACCCCCGAAATGGGGGAAAAATGTTGGGCTTTATTTAAACCTGTTGTCCCTGTTCACCTAGCAGTAAGTAGGTACCTGGATATTACTTGATTGTTGTGGGTGGCGTCCTGGAGGGGGTGGTAGTGAATCTCAGATAGGACTGAGGCAGGATAACAGCTCCCAGCCTGTAAAATTGATGTGTAAAAGAGAATCATCACCCATGTGTCATATGCCACATGGGTGATCATCCAAACGACGTATGACCATCCAAGCGACGTATGACCATCCAAGCGACGTATGACGTGAAAGATATCACCCACGTACTGTATAACCTAGACAGTGACCCTGGGGATTAAACTCAAATGTTGCTGCACAAAACTGTTATACTTCCTTCAGACATCAATCCTCCCACCGCAGTTGTGACTGCTCGATTATCATCACTGTATGTAACACGAAGCGAAGGTCAATGTGGGGAGTGAGGGGGGAGGGGACCATATTTCGTGTGTGTTGCGGGAAGTTATCTCGGATTCCTTGCATCAAAAGACCTTCACTAGCTTGAATTATCTTTCTCATAATCACAACCAGGCGCTAAACCTGTAAGGGTCATACAGCGCTGCAGGGTAGTGTGTGAGTAAAGGGGTATATCACTAGCGTGAAGGTATTCTAGCTGGATGGTATCCCAGCTTGAAGGTATCCCAGCTTGAAGGTATCCCAGTTTGAAGGTATCCCAGCTTGAGTGCATCCCATCCTGAAGGTATCCCAGCTTGAATGTATCCCAGCTTGAAGGTATCCCAACTTGATGGTATCCCAACCTGAAGGTATCCCAACCTGAAGGTATCCCAGCTTGAAGGGTCTGCCTACTAGTGATATATATAACTAAAATGTAACTTATAATACTCTCGACTAATTGGTGACGAGAGAGCAACTGAGAATTGTTGATAAAATGCCGCGGTTGACAACCATGAGTTGAATAAATGTCAGTCTATCCGGCCTGAGTAATGGAAAGTTAGTTCCGAAAAGTTTGCTGTGTTAGATTTATGAAATGTCCTCAGTGAAACTCCCATGCATTTTGGTAATTTATATGTGTGTGTGTGTGTGTGAAGTTTTGACGCGATTATCGCACAATTCAGGTCATACTTGATTCCAATTGCATGTCATTAACAGTGGAGTTTCTCCTCATTAAGGCTGATTAGTATGCATTGTTGGTGTAAAATAACATGAATTAATTACTGAAAATATACATTATAAATATATACAGATACACACACACACACACACACACACACACTTGTTACACTCCTTATAGCACTTAAAACCAATGTTTTTTTTATCAGCTTTCAACGAAAATAACGAGTCAGTCAGGATAAACCTACTTAAAACACAAGACATGTGATGTAAACAGGCAATTTACCTGAGAATTTACGAAAACATACAGCTTCAGTCTGCCTAATTGTTAAATTACATATAGTGAAGAGGGGTATCCCACGTGTAGACGAGAAAACAGAAAATGAGGCTATGTATATCGACTATAAACTGGAGTCCTCATTAGCAGCTTCTGTTGATGAGAACTCCAGTTGGGAGTCGAAGTATAGTCTCATTTCCACTGCTGTCTTCTTGCCTACATGTGAGATGTCCTTCAGCATCGACAAGTGTTCATTACACTCATGTCATCGTCATATTAAAGAGGGTAAAGTCACACGGGCTCTCTCTCTCTCTCTCTCTCTCTCTCTCTCTCTCACTCACTGTATATTGGCACGCGAGTAGGTGCTGAATTTTAACGGTTGTTGACACATCCAGCGGTTAGTAATGGTGCTGAATACGTCCATTTCACTAATTATGCATGGAAATACTTGATCAGCTGTCTTAAGAAGGCTGCCCATTTAAATCCATATAATTTTGCACATATAACCAAATTCTTCTCCACTGTTCCATTCTTACCTTGCGACGTAAATAATAATGTCTGGTAAATTGTTTTTCTTTGTGATTTATAAAATCTCGTTCCTTGTTCCGCTGTTACGTTGCAACGTATGTAATCTCGTTCCATGTTCCACTGTTCCCTTGCAACATATATATACTCACTTATTTTTCCACTATTGCTCTGCATTCTTACACAACTTCTGGCTGAATTCACTGAATAGGTTACCACACATTATACTAAGCAACATCTCTCACACTGTTTATTCTCGTAAAACACCGAGAATGATTCCTGTGTCCGAGTAGGTGTTTACAATATTGTCAGAGACACTCACAAGAATTGAGTTTCCATCACTGTAACATTGGTAAAAAAACTATTTTTTCAATATTTGTATTTGATTACACTAATAAACTTTAATCGAATATTCGTGTTTTTAATGTATGTATATAGCTCTTCGCTATAATAATTTTTAATGGGAAATTTCTGGTGAGGTTTCGGTTCGTTCGGGACTATTATCATGTTAGTTATAAGACGGTCGAAAACGTCTTAAGTTTTCTGTTGTGGGTTGTTAATGGTTTCAGCCTAATTATGAATTATTTCACCTTAGTTGGAAATTGTTTAAATTTCAATTTAGTAGTGAATTGTTCCAGCTTAGTATTATTATTATTATAATCAAAAAGAAGCGCTAAGCCACTCCAGCTTAGTAGTGAATTGTTCCAGCTTAGTTGTGATTTGTTCCAGCTTAGTTGTGAACTGTTCCCCTGATAATATTGTTGCTTTTATTTAGTCGCTATTTTGAAAGATAATTAGGCGTCACAAAGGTTTCACTAGGACACGTAAGCCAGGTAACCCAAGCCATTTTTTTGCTTTATTGTCTTGGGAAAGGTTCCTTGTGTGAACATCCAGAGAAGCCTACTCGCATCCTGGGTTTGTTTGTCGCACAAATCAACCCACAAGTAGACAATAAAACAGCATTTAAAATGAGTGTTGCTCGTTTCATTCTCACGATAAGGCCTTCAATAGTCTGTCGAGTTCGTTAGTCTGTTAAAAAAAGGGCCTCAGCCTTCTGAAAAAGGCCAAAAAACTGCTGACGGGATTTCTGTTTAAAAAAAACCCAGTTTGCTGATAAAGGCCTCAGTCACTGAAGAGGGCCTCTATTGCAGGGAGCCTCAGTCTGCTGCAGAGGGTCTTAATCTACTGAAAAGGGCCTCCGTCTCCTGAAGAGAGCCTCAGTTTATTGGAGACCCCCAGTCTTCTAAAGGGGGTTTCCATTATGAGCCCGATTAAATCATTTCATTGCTGTTGTATTGCTAAACCGTATGCAGATTATATTCATTATCACTATCTTTTTCTAGTTTGTGCAACACCGAATACGCTTAGGAACCCTCCGTGTTTTGGCGCTTCTAGGCCTTCTCCCCCCAATTTATTTTGCAAGCTAAATTTTTCTTGAAAATAAGGTGATAACCAAATTTTAGTACAACTTTCAAATGTTTAAATAAAAACCCTCCCATTTTTTTTTCCCAAAAACACGGAGCGATTGCAAATTTTTGTTTTTTTATCAAATATTTTGTCACCACCACAGGGTTTCACAGGGCCCCACCAAGTCAGCGAGGGACCCAATAAGTTCGTTTGAGGTACCGTTAAAGCTTTTTTCTTACATTATATTAACATACCAAAATGCCCCTTTGGGAAACCCTCAGGCATTAGGCCATCTATACAAAACTAACTGAAACAGTTCAGTTTGAAGGGAAGCTGAATTCACAAGTGGTTCTTTTAACCCACTCTAGTCCTTGCAGCGGCCGAAGAGCGAAAAAGGGACTTGGGAAGATGGGAGGACGAGGAAGGGGAGGGGCAAGAGGAGAAAGAAGTGGGTTAACAAGAGGTGGGGAAAGCAGTGAGGGCTCCCGGAGGTTCATCTGACGGCGACCACGTAGGTGAGCGCTGCCGACCAGAGCGCCAGCGTGGCCTGGTGGATGCTCACGCTGCCAGAGTCTATCCGTTGTACCGCCGCTGTCTTGTCACCTGTGGACGAGCCAAAAACAACACGTTACATCACTGCAAGATGGAAGAACACTAAGTTACATCACTGCAAGATGGAAGAACACCAGGTTACATCACTGCAAGATGCAAGGACTGCACCAGTCTTCACTACATATTTGTGTACAACACGTAGACTGTCTGCTGCAGCAAAGAACATGTACAGCACGCACGCACACACACACACACACACACACACACACACACACACTGCCCACGCACGTACGTAAGTGCGTGCGTTTGAAAAGCGAGGATAGGGAACAAGGTGACAAAAAATGTTAAAATTATCTATTAATATTTGCATGAAGCGCTAAACCCGTGTGGGTTATTCAGCGTAAAAAAAAAGAGACATCTACTCTTGCAGATGAGCCATAGTAAGGAAGTGTTTAAAAGTCATTAGAAAGTGGACTGACTTGGAGCAACAAGTGGAGTGACTTAGTGCAACAAGTGGAGTGACTTGGAGGAACAAGTGGAGTGACTTGGAGGAACAAGTGGAGTGACTTGGAGGAACAAGTGGAGTGACTTGGAGGAACAAGTGGAGTGACTTGGAGGAACAAGTGGAGTGACTTGGAGGAACAAGTGGAGTGACTTGGAGGAACAAGTGGAGTGACTTAGTGCAACAAGTGGAGTGACTTAGTACAACAAGTGGAGTGACTTAGTACAAGTGGAGTGACTTAGTGCAACAAGTGGAGTGACTTAGTGCAACAAGTGGAGTGACTTAGTACAACAAGTGGAGTGACTTAGTGCAACAAGTGGAGTGACTTAGTACAACAAGTGGAGTGACTTAGTGCAACAAGTGGAGTGACTTAGTACAACAAGTGGAGTGACTTCGTACAACAAGTGGAGTGACTTAGTGCAACAAGTGGAGTGACTTAGTACAACAAGTGGAGTGACTTAGTGCAACAAGTGGAGTGACTTAGTACAACAAGTGGAGTGACTTAGTACAACAAGTGGAGTGACTTAGTGCAACAAGTGGAGTGACTTAGTGCAACAAGTGGAGTGACTTAGTACAACAAGTGGAGTGACTTAGTACAACAAGTGGAGTGACTTAGTACAACAAGTGGAGTGACTTAGTACAACAAGTGGAGTGACTTAGTACAACATGTGGAGTGACTTAGTACAACATGTGGAGTGACTTAGTACAACATGTGGAGTGACTTAGTACAACATGTGGAGTGACTTAGTACAACAAGTGGTGGAAAACAACACCAGACATAAATTTTAGACAATACAGAGATCATAAGGCAAGAAATTAGTGAAGCCAATCTTGTGTAGTCAAGAGACGTGGTCCAGGAGCCGAGACTCAACCCCCGTAACTACAAATAAGCCAGCGCATACACACAATTCATCAAGCCAAAATTTCACCTATGTATTTTTTATCATGATATAAGTGGACATGCAAATTTGTGTGTTTTTGAGAAATCTCTATTTTTTTTTTAAACTTAAACTCTAAACCCAAGAGATACATATTCATCAAATACAGTGGACCCCCGCATAACGATCACATCCGAATGCGACCAATTATGTAAGTGTATTTATGTAAGTGCGTTTGTACGTGTATGTTTGGGGGTCTGAAATGGACTAATCTACTTCACAATATTCCTTATGGGAACAAATTCGGTCAGTACTGGCACCTGAACATACTACTGGAGTGAAAAAAATATCGTTAACCGGGGGTCCACTGTATATATTTTCAAAGGGGTGAGTTAGTAAGCCAGGGGAAGGTCTTAGTCAGAGGATCAATAGCTCCAAATTATAAGATTAACACCAGCGTCAAAATTTGTCCTCTTTCCTGACAAATCTTAACTAATTTAACCTAAAACTCTAAAGGAACACGTTTTTGGCTTATTTTCTAACTAGACGAAGGGAATGCTTAGTGACGAAGTAGATAAACAATGCGTGAGGAAGACACTGACTCATGATAGTATAACTGGAGATTATGACATGACCTCTGCTTCATCTGGTGGGGAAGTCTAGCTGCTAGGGTAGTGAGGCTTTCTCACCATTCGCGGGCGTTGGATCGAGCCTCCACTACCCACTGGAAGAACATAACGCCGATAGATAAAAGGACAACCCCCATTTTTCCCCTCACCCCTAGTGGGTTCTTACCTGTGATTCCTTCTAGTCCAGTCAAGTCTACGGGCAAAGACACAAGCTACCTGAACAAGATTATCTGGAGACAGAGACTTAGAAAAATAATTTTCTGCCTTCAGGTGGGCTATTATTCATCACTGATAAGCGTTAATTACTCGAGCATAGGAGAGAAAGTACCTTACGAGGACATTTCGGTCCGGCTTGGACCATTTACAAGGTCACACTGTAAATTGTACAAGTCGGACCGTAACGTCTTCGTAAGCTCTTCTGTCCTATGTACAAGGTTATTTATGTACTTTTAGTTATTCATTTGTGACTTCGTCCACATCTTTCGGATGCGCTGGATCATCCACACGACCTCAGTACTTATACGTTAATATTATAATTACTACCAGTTTACCTTCAGTGACGAAGACCATGGTGGAGGCTGGGCGGGTATTGGGGGCAGTGCAGGTGTAGTTGCCGGAGTGTTGGTCGCTGGCGGCGTTCACGTGAAGGCGGCTGACAGGAGTAGCGACACCCTTGCCTCTCATCTCCATGCTGATCGACACCTCGGGTCGGTCGCGCACGTAGTTGAGCAGCTGGTCGTTGTGGTACCACAATACGTACTGCGGCGGCGTTGGTCCCTGTAGGTGAAGGTCGAAACGTGCAATAACGTTTCAGCACATATTTCTTAATTTTTAATAAAATCTTAGAGATTAGGTATACTGGCTGTAAAGTAATGGAATTTTTGTTAAATTATTTTCATTTTAGTGATAAGCAGGAGGGTTTGTGATTTTTAAAAGTTGTTCGACAGTGAGGCAATAATAGTAGTAGTAGAAATAGTAGTAGAAATACTAGTAGTAGTAGTAGTAGTAGAAACTAATTGTTGTATAAATAGTAGTAGTAGTTGTAGAAACAGAAGTACTACTACTACTACTACCACCACTTCATTCCACTTTATACAAAGCAGACATTGGAGGAACCTTCGTTAGCTTTCCTATGTCCTGTAAAGTGAAGCACTCTTGAAGAATAAAATTCACAATACCATGAGCGAAGTATTTCACTACTAACGCATGAAATGGAGATTAAACTAGACGACTTTTCGATCCTTCCTGAACTATAATCAACCCTTAAATCGCAATGGCTCAGGACAGACCCAAACTCTCAGCTTCAATTCCAATTTTATTCTAGCTGCAAAACATTTTTTCTTTCAATTCATACCTGTTCGCCAACAAGAAATTTCCTGTACCCAATCTTACGCCATTTATATATATATATATATATATATTTATATATATATATATATATATATATATATATATATATATATATATATATATATATATATATATAGTTTGGAGGGATATGTTGTGTATCTTTATACGTATATGCTTCTAAGCTGTTGTATTCTGAGCACCTCTGCAAAAGCAGTGATAATGTGTGAGTGTGGTGAAAGTGTTGAATGATGATGAAAGTATTTTCTTTTTGGGGATTTTCTTTCTTTTTTGGGTCACCCTGCCTCGGTGGGAGACGACCGACTTGTTGAAAAAAAAAAAAAAAAAAAAAAAAAAAAAAAAAAAAAAAAAAAAAAAAAAAAAAAATATATATATATATATATATATATATATATATATATATATATATATATATATATATATATATATATATATATATATATATATATATATACATATATATCAGATAACCGACATTGTAAGCCATAACATAAACATAATCTAAAAGCCTCCTGCTCCTCCCGCTCCTCCTTCGAAACATTACTTTGAATATCTAATTCCGGGAAATGGCCTATTCATTGACGATATTTCCGGCGATAACACATTATAGCTAAAGGCCAATTCACTTAGTTAATTGCCTATTGAATAACGTATCTCGATCCTGAGGCGTGAGACTTTAAATAGAAAAACCAGGACACAGGAGAAGGGCAAACCGGGTGATCGCGTATATTCTTCAGCATACATTGGCATCTTCCTTCCAGTAATGAAGCACACATGAAGGGTATATACACTGAGAGGTGTATATCTCTCAGTGAGTGATATATCAGTGAGGTATACTCTCAGTGAGAGTTTATTGCTAACCCTATTTCAGGGATTAAAGTACATATTCTTGACTGGTGGTTAACAGGTTACGTGCGGTCTTGACACTCGTGTACCCAATAGGCTTTACAACCTAATTAACCAACCAATAATGAAAAAGATAAACACGTTCTAGAACAAGCTTATATTGGGACAATGTTTCCCTCCATGTAGAGCTTTATCAGGTTGTGATAAAGCTCTACCCAGAGCAAGAAACGTTCTCACGACCAAGAATTGTTCTGTCTTCCCCAGGTCCTATCATCATCAGCCTAGAGATGTATCGGGTATCCGCATCCGCGAAACACCACACAATTTCTTACATCTGCATACGCATCCATATCCGCATTTTACTGCAAAGAGATATCCGCATATGCATCCGCATCCGAATCCGCGGAAAATCCGCACAATTTCTTACATCCGAAAAATAAGTAAGACATCCTCATACACATCCACATCCACGGATATCTAAATTTTCACAACCGATATATCTCTAGCCTGCAGCACTCCTTGTACTAGATGACCCACACGGATTTAGCTCTTCACGTAAATAGAACAGTAACTGACGTACTAAATAATCTTTCCCAGTTATATCAGATTTGACAGCAATTCATTTCACATTCAAAGAGGAACTGATGACCCCTTCCGCACTCTCCTCTTGATTCATCGGAGTAAAATATAGGAAGCAGTGATCAATTTTACACCTAATTAGAGCCTAAATATATTTAGGCTCTAATTAGGTCTCTCAGGCAGAAACAGTTAATGAACTTTCTTACCTGTATTTCCGATTTTTGTTCGTGTTTAATACCTCATTTCATATAATCAATGAACTTTAGGTAAGTCATAATGAATGACTGTCTATGAATAACGAAAGAATGGACGTGAACTTGGTGGTTTGTGGGTACAGCGGGCATAACGCTCGGCCACAAAGCTTACAATAGCACTTTTATTAAGCGCATTCCCGTACGAACACTATATATATATATATATATATATATATATATATATATATATATATATATATATATATATATATATATATATATATATATATATATATATATATGTCGTGCCGAATAGGCATAACTTGCGATCTTGGCTTAAATAGCAACGCTCATCTTGCCATATAGGACAAGCGAAAATTTGTGTATGCAATAATTTCGCCAAAATCATTCTGAACCTAACGAAAAAAATATATTTAACTGTGTTTGTTTAGTATTAAATTATTGTAAACAAATCTAAAATATATTTAGTTGGGTTAGGCTAAAATAAATTGTTCTTGTTATAATAAGGTTAGGTAAGTTTTCTAAGATTCTTTTGGTGCAAAATTAAAATTTTTTACATTAACATTAATGAAAAAAATATATCTTTAAACGCATAAGAGAAAATCTTAGAAAGGACTTAATTTTAAATGAGTTCTTGCTAAATGATCAGTTTTACATATTCGGCACGACATTATATATATATATATATATATATATATATATATATATATATATATATATATATATATATATATATATTATATATATATATATATATATATATATTAAAGGTAGTAGGTTGGTAGACAGCAACCGCCCTGGGAGGTACTACCGTCCTGCCAAGTGAGTGTAAAACTGAAGCCTGTAATTGTTTTACATGATGGTAGGATTGCTGGTGTCTTTTTTTTCTGTCTCATACACATACAAAATTTCAGGTATGTCTTGCTACTTCTACTTGCACTTAGGTCACACTACACATACATGTACAAGCATATATATATATATATACACACCCCTTTGGGTTTTCTTCTATTTTCTTTCTTGTTCTTGTTTATTTCCTCTTACCTCCATGGGGAAGTGGAACAGAATTTTTCCTCCGTAAGTCATGCGTGTTGTAAGAGGCGACTAAAATGCCGGGAGCAAGGGGCTAGTAACCCCTTCTCCTGTATATATCACTAAATGTAAAAGGAGAAACTTTCGTTTTTTCTTTTGGGCCACCCCGCCTCGGTGGGATACAGCCAGTGTGTTGAAAGAATATATATATATATATATATATATATATATATATATATATATATATATTATATATATTGAAATGACTTGATAAAGGCCTACACAGTTGGTGAAATACTCTTGCCCTGGATATTTAAACTCAATTGCTTTCTGTACCCCAGTTATTGTATGACATCTGATGGTTTAAAGCTTCCGGAAGATAATTAATAAAAATGCTACTACTACTACTACTAATAATAATAATAATAATAATAATAATAATAATAATAATAAATAATAAAAAACAATAGTAATAATAGCAATTCCGATGGTTTAAAATTAAGTCGAACCCAAATGTCGCCTTGGCAAAGATGCTACGGACGGAAAATCCTAAATTAAGCAAGTCAGGCAAGCCAAGTTTGTTGCTGATAGTCTCTCGTGAAGCGCCAAACCCCTGAGAGTCAGTGCAAGAAGTGCCAGGTGCTCTATCCTCCATCCACAAACTGCGGCGCCGTCTCTGATCAGTCAGGCTGTTGGCAGTTGGCTATCAGTTGAAAATACGTAAGCTTGGCCACAATCCTGTCTCATAATTTGCGGTGTAAGAGGGAGATGAACGGTCTAAGGATCATTAGTTTTCTGATGCTCACATGATGATTTCTTTTGTAAGTAGATGTCGGACATATTAAAAAACCAGATGGACGAGGCAGAATGACACTGTATGAAAAGGCAGCGAACTAACAAGTGTATGCAGAGGCAGCGAACTAACAAGTGTACGCAGAGGCAGCGAACTAACAAGTGTATGCAGAGGCAGCGAACTAACAAGTGTACGCAGAGGCAGCGAACTAACAAGTGTATGCAGAGGCAGCGAACTAACAAGTGTACGCAGAGGCAGCGAGATGATACATGTATGAAGAGGTACATGAAATAACGTAAACCTAAAACCATGTTCCTACGATGGAAACTTGATCAAGATTTTATCAAGTTACGACTTTATCAGTTAAGACTATCAAGTTACGACTTATCATGTTACGACTTTATCATGTTACGACTTTATCATGTTACGACTTCATCAATTTACGACTTCATTAAGTCATAACTTCGTCAAGTCATAACTTCGTCAAGGCATAACTTGATGAAGCTTCCCTCCAGCGGAACGTCGTTGTAATGAAGATTAACGATGTCTTACGTCTCTTCCTCCACCTGTAAAAAGTGAAAGGTACAGGAGATGACGCGGCTCCTGGACAGACATTGTGCGACCCGGACGCAGCTGACGACGGACACCACCTTCAACCAGAATTTTTATATGGATGGACCGGTAAGCCAGCGGAAGGCCTCGGTCAGATGACCAAAAGCTCCAGCTACGGGTTATTATTATAATAATAATAATAATAATAATAATAATAATAATAATAATAATAATAATAATAATAATGCAAATAATTTTTTTCAGCATATACAGCGATGGATGACATTTAGTAACATTTATTTATTAGTAACATTAAAATATTTGTTTGGTATTATTGGATAAATTAATGTTTTGTTAAATGAAGAGTTGCAAACAAGCCTTCATTTGCCCGC